TATGTCAGCCAAACACATGTATCAGAATATACTGTAGAGGCGGAGTGGGAGGCCACCCAGACAGCGACCCGATGACTGTTTGGCTGGGTGAAACCAGAGTTGTACTGAAACCAGAGTCCTCCTGAGTCCTGACCCTGTAGATGAACAAGGTGGAAAAAAGTAAACTGGTGAGGGAGCAGGAGTGTGAGAAGTCAGGAGGAGAGTTGGGGGCAGATGGTTTGAGAGTGCAATACTCTTGGTCACCTCCAGCTGCCATCACTGTGCTTGTAGATCCAGCTCCTCCTCCTTCTCAGCCAGCCCCAGAAGCTGGGCTAGCATCAGTGTGTGCGCCTGCAAATAGAAGCAGCATACCTCATCCAGTCTCCCACCCAGGCAGCTCCATGTGTTGGGCTACTTTGAATACAAGTGGGATCAGCTCTCTACCCCATCCCCCTCTAGCAACCCCACGCGCTGGACTGCTTTGAATAAAAACACAGAAGCTCCCTGTCCCCTCCATAACTGCCTTTCAGGCAGATTTCCCAGATGCTGGGCTGATTTGAGTAAAAGCAGCACCTACCTTTCCCCTGTGCCTCTCCCTCCTCCCCCCCAGATAACTCCAGCTGCTTGGCTGCTGTTCAGAGTACAAGTCAGGAAGCACCCATTAAACAGAGAAAACAAGTCAGATGTGAGAATGAGACTGCATTAACCTGGTGCTAAAATACTTAAGCTTGCTCTCCACCCAGGTTATTCAGACATTGCTTAGGTGCAGAAATAAAAATAAATGAATAAAATATGCAGAAAGATTTCATTCCTCAGTCTTTCCCCAGAGCTGAATCACACCAGCTTTGATGAATGGCAAAGCAAATTGTCTGAAAGATTTGAGATGTGTAAGCAGAACTGAAATATAAAACCTCTGTTTCTTGGATAATGGGGAGCAATATGTGCACAAAAAGTATTCAGAAGTGAGACCATTAAATAACATTTAGCCAGTAGTTGAAAGCAATTAAAATATATATGCCAACAGCCCAACCCAGCCCATTCTAGGTCAGGCCCCAGTGCCTACTTTCCTGAAAAAGACAACAAGAACAGAAACCTTTTTAATAAGATACCAAAAGGCTATTGAAATTTTGGAGTATTAATTTTCTTTTTTTATTTGATTTCGTAATAAACATTTAAAAGTCATACACCTTGTTTTGTTTTAGTATTCTTTCTTCTTCCACAATATTTAATTTTTATATATATATATCCAGAATTTTTGTTTGTGACTGGTGGGCACCGCTGTGGCATATATCTGCATAAGTGGTGCACATGACAAAACTCATTCTACGGATGGATGGAAAAACTTCGAGGAATCAGTGGTACAGACTGATGTTTGCTACTACTGATAGCAAAGCTTGACAATTATATAGGGTTGCTTATTTTTAAAGAACTTCACAAGAATGGACTGATTAACGTTCATAACTCCCACTCAGAATTTAGTATTTTAAAACTGGATTTCAGGCTCAGGTTCGCTGTGTGGCTTGGCTAGCACTGCAGTGGTAGGACACAGTTCCTGTCTCCTATACAGTTATGTTGTTAGGCCAACTGATAACACTTCTAGTGCAACAAAAGCCCTTAATGGTTTACACTAGTTTATATAAACAAAACACACTTTTCTCTCTGTCTCACAGGCCTCACACCATCAACCATCAGCTTCATTCCTTCAGTGGTCATTTTCACTCTAGGAAGCATTGTTAGAAGGGTAGAAACACTAAATTCTGGATAGTGATAGAAATGTAGCCGTGTTAGTCTGGTGTAGCTGAAACAAAAAACAGGACTAACAAGATGGTTTATTAGATGATGAGCTTTCGTGGGCCAGACCCACTTCCTCAGATCAAATAGTGGAAGAAAATTGTCACAACCATATATACCAAAGGATACAATTAAAAAAAATGAACACATATGAAAAGGACAAATCAAATTTCAGAACAGAAACGGGATGGGG